GAAAATGTATTTGATGTATTATATTGAGAACAAAAATATGTATAATCTCTTTCAGGCATACAGGTATAAAGAATTGTAACAATTTAGTGTGACAATTTCCTTTTAACTTTAAGATGCCTATAAGCCCTTGGCATTGGTGTGAAGGAGTAAGGTCTTGTTGCGTAGCGATAGACTGTGTAGGGACTCCACTCATCCCACAGTATGTTATGGCGACCGATTGACTAAGTTCTATTCGACTTTCAGGACATTTTACAGGAAAACATTTGAGAGTTTGAGTATGTTTCTTAATGATATGCAAAATGATATGTCATTTTGTTTATAGAAAGTTTTCTAAAAATTTTATTTAAAAACTGTTTTAATCCATTGTAGATCTGATCATAGAGAGTTCAGGCATATGAGAACGTACAAAATTGTAGGACTTGTTTCACTAGCTCAGAAAAAAGTATTGTTATCGTTGGTCAAAACATTTTTCTGATAAAAAGGTTTGTTGACAAGGTCAAATTCTTTCTTCAGATTTTTAGCCAACACCACTTCACAGCAATATCCATAATAAATGACAAAATTAATTATGTAATTTAATTATGTATGAATGGTGTCACAGGATCCTGAAAAATGAGGTACTCACACTGTATTGTGAATGTTCTGAAGTAATAAAAAAACTGGATTAATTAATTCTAATAAAATAGGCTAGATTATTTTGTACATATGCATTTAAATTGAAAAATGTTAACATCTTTTAATGAAGCATTTATTTCCATTGTGTTATAATGTGTTATTTTAAATGAACGCTTGTAAACTCTTAAACATTTAGTATGGTGGTTGGACCTTTTAAAAGGAAAGTAAATGAATTAGATCTTAAAGCTCGAAATGCGAAACTCATTTAAGAAATGAAAAAAAATCATGCAAAGCACTGATTTAAATGAATCTCAATCTTTGTATGATTTTATTTATAATCTATTACAATTTTGATGAAGCAACAATTGCACATGTTTTGTTTATTTTCTGTAACTTGGTATTGTAAAGTTTGGATTTATTGAATTAGTACACTTAAACAGTTATAACGATGCTATATTTTATTGTGATTGCTTTTAAATTCTTAATATTTTAATCCTTTTATAGTCCTTAACCTTACTGGTTTTATTCTTAGAGATTGCATAAAATTATTTGATTAATAGTAATTCCATTTAAAAAATGTTTGAATTTTAGCATTAGAATTTTGGAGTGATAATGTTCTTTTCAGAATCTACATTCCCAAATGTGTGTTCTATATAATATTTGAATTGTGGAAAATTTATTGGGTTCAATGCGAATCATCACTAAGCAAACCATGTCATTTTGAGGCTTTACAAAATTAGTAATGCTGAAAGTGAAATTTTGCCACATACTGCAGGAGCTAATATTTTTCCAATTAACATTTAATGCAATGAAATGAAATTCAAGGGAAGTTTATGCTGGCAGTATGAAATTTATATTTTTTTTGTGTTAAATTCTTATATAAAACTTAATTTATATTGTTGATCATTCCTGTTTTTAATTATAATAGTAATTTTCTTTAGAAGAGAAACAGACCAGTTGATATACCGAGTGCCATTTGAGAAAAAAAATATCACCGGCAGGTCCCGCGCAATGCTGTAGCCAAATGTCAGCACGACTATTTTGTTTTTTAGTAAGACGTGAATCTACTATAATGTTCAAAACGTTGGGGAACTAACATTGGGTGAGGTGAATAAAAATGAGGTATTACTTTCTCGAGTTTTAAAAGCATTTACTACAAACATAGGAATAAAGAATGTTTTCCTATCTTGAACAATTTCTCCTTTTGTAAGTAAATACTCGAACTTACGAGCTATCGCTTTCTTTTCGTATGAATTAAATTGAGAATTTGCTTATAGTGCGAAGCATTTAGTTAAATTTCGGAGCAACCTCCTTTGATAACTGAAGCACATATATTTGAAGGTTAGAGGCTGTAGATTACAGCGTGAGAACATTTTTTTGTTGAGAAATTTGGCCTCAAAATTTTAGTTTTAATGCCGCACAACACTTTTGTAGGTGTTATTTAACAATATGCATTCAAAAAAGTCATTCCTAGTGTGTTGCGGATTGGACATGGTTATTTAGTAATGTTTTGCAGCATAATATACTACAGATAAAAAAAACGTCTTTAAAGCATGTTAGCCGCCATCCTAATTGAGTTTTTTTTCTGGGCTTACTAAATTGCTTAAGGCGTACGCCGGGATGGTCCCTTGTCTTGTACTCCCAGACGTAAATGTAGAGCTTTTCCCCTTCTGTCTCTCTTCTTTCTCTTCCGGATTTTCCTCTCCATTTTCATTTGTTTCCTTTCTCTTATTTTTCCATCTCTTCCACTTTCCTCCGTAAATTGATGTTCGGCCCCGATGAGGTTATCTGGGTTTACTCAATCGCTTAAGGCGTATGCCAGGATGGTCCCTAGATTTGTTCTCCTAGTCGTAAATGTACAGATTGTCCTCCCCT